AGAGTCTTTAAAAAGACAAAAAAAATCTTAAAACAAGTATGAGAGGGCATATTTGATGTTCAATACACAACAGTGTACTAAGTACATTTTTTTTAAACAGGTTTCTGCTATGTAGCCCAGGCTGACCTCAAATTCACAACCTGTCTCTCTCAACCTTCACAGAATGTGCATGCACGCCTGTGTGAGTATGAGCATGTGGAGTCCAGTGGTCTCTTACTGGCCTGGATCTCACCAAGCAGGTCAAACCGACTATCAGGTGAGCCTTCCCAGTTTTGGGACTACACGCATGTGCCAATGTGCTCGGATTTCTTATATGGGTTCTGGGGACTGTACTCAGGTATGTCACCATGCTTATATGGTAAGCGCTTTACTGAGTTATCTCATCAGCACTGACATGTATTTGAATATGATATTTTTCAGCTTATGGTGGTTTTGTCAAGACAAAACCCTATTTCAAGTTGAGAAACATCTGTATCTCTAGACAAAAATGGCTACCAGCATTGTTTGTTTTGAGAGAAAAAAAATCTGTGGTGATCTGTACATTCTAATGATGGCATCATTGACAGTGCCACGATAATCTTGAGAAATGACACCTCTCCAAGCGCAGCAGAATGGTATTTCAGAGAAAAATGAAGAATTGGAAAAGTGCATGCTTTTTCCTTCCATCACCACCACTGCCATATTTTTTTTATAAAGTGGAATAATTCTAATGTTTCCAAAGTCTCCATTTTCACTGCACCCCCAATCTGTGCATCACGGAATATGGAGAGTAAAGCACATTGTTGGACATCTAGAACAAAAGAGGCCAGGAACTGAAGCGATGGTCTCTGGAAGAATGACACCATTCAGTGTTGAGCATTGGGTATTGGCACAGCATTAGAAGACCAGAAATCTAGGCTTCCATCTGCTATTAACTAAATATGTGACTCAGAAGTGGCTTACCTTTCTTTAGTGGTGGTGTCCTTATCTACAATCTGTCCAGCAAAAGAGCTGGTCTTCTGTAAATAATAAAAATATTCTGCTGCAAAAAAGGAGCACTTTTAAAACTGGACATGGTGACAGATGCCACTAGTCCCAGAGAGTAAGAAACTCCTGAGTTGAAGGCCAGAATGGGTCACATACTAAGACTGGTATCTCAAGAAACCATAACGAGTTAGCAAAACTGAACCCTGAAAGCTCCTGGGGGCAGCTAAGCATTCTCAGCTTTGACAGTTTCAGTGTGATCCAGTGGGAGGTAAACGGATTGACTGTGGACTGCTGTATACCCCAGAGTAACATGTTTATATTCCAGAAAGGAGCCCCATGTGAGCCTCAGTGCTGTGGCCTGGCCCGCCTGGTCATGGGTCAGCAGCATCTGTAAAACTTACACTGTTTGGTCTAGATCCTATGGCTCTGTACTGATTTCTGTCTCTGTCTTGTCAATCTGACTCACTGTCAACACTGAAGAAATTGCTTGCTACTCGCTGAAAGTCGTTGCCAGGGTGGTCTGGCTCTGCTGCTCAGACATATCCCACCCCATCTGTTCCTCCCTGAAACAGAAGGTTGGCTGCCCAGCTTCAGAGCCAGGCAATGCAATAGAGCAAGCAGAACTGACACAACGTCCAAGCTGGAGGTTTCCTGTGCTCCTCGCTGACCATGCTTCATTGAACCTAAGCCGGCTCTAAATAGGTGGAAAGTCAGAAGGAGTAATTGCTCATGCAGTTTTAGCTTTGACCAACTCCACAACTCCAGCTTCTCTGACCCACCTTTCCAGCATACATTTTCTTTGTGGGGGAGGGGAGGGCTGGCAAGTGAGCGAGTGGTGTATGCATGTGTGTGTAGATAAGCATACTCATGCAAACACATACAATGGGCAGCATGTGGGTGCCATGTCTTTATTGCCCTCTTGCCATTTTCCTAAGACAGAACACGAAGCTCACTATATCCATTTCACCTAGTTTGGCTGGCTAGTGAGCTCTGATTCTGTCCCCTAATATTGGAGTTATACAAATACGCAGTCCATACTCTGCTGGTAAAGCGAATTTGAACTTTGGTTCTTATGTTTGCAGAGAAAGTGCTCCACCCACTGGGCCACCTCCTCAGCCCTGCATCTTTCGTTTTCTTTGGCCTTGGCCTAACCTTGTTAATTAAG